AATTGATGTTTATATTCTCATTATCTTTACATGCATTATGTATATAATTGTATATGTACACATAATATATGTATGATATTATACATACTTTTGTATTTTCCTGTGAAGTTATTTCCTTTTACTGTTTTTACTTGGTGCTTTTTCCTTTTTTGAAAAATAAATTTATTTATTTGAAAGTCAGAGTTACACAGAGAGAGAAGGAGAGGCAGAGAGAGAGAGAGAGAGAGAGAGAGAGAGAGGTCTTCCATCCACTTGTTCACTCTCTAAGTGGCCACAACAGCCAGAGCTGCGCCGATCCAAAGCCAGGAGCCAGGAGCTTCTTCTGGGTCTCCCACATGGGTGCAGGGGCCCAAAGACTTGGGTCATCTTCTACTGGTTTCCCATGTCATGGCAGAGAGCTGAATTGGAAGTGGAGCAGCCGGAATTCTAACCGGCGCCCATATGGGTTGCTGGCACTGCAGGCGGAGGCTTTACCTGGTAAGCCACAGCACTGGCCTCTCCTATTTTGGGGGGGGTGATAAAAATTGTGTTTCATACAATTTATTGAATGCTATACTTAACAAAATGCTAATCACATATGTATAAAGTTAAATGTATGGGGCTGGCGCTGTTGCACAGTGGGTAAAGCTGCTGCCTCCAGTACCAGCATCCCATGTGGGTGCCAGTTCGGGTCATGGCTGCTTAACTTCTCTGCTATGTTCTGGGAAAGTGGTGGAAGACAGCCCAAGATTTTGGGCCCCTTCACCCTCATGGTAGACCCAGAAGAAGCTCCTGGCTCCTGGCTTCGGATTGGCTTGGCTCTGGCCATTGCGGCCAATTGGGAAGTGAACCAGTGGATGGAAGCCCTCTCTCTCTCGCTCTCATTCTCGCTCTTGCTCTTGTTCTCACTCTCTCTTTGCCTCTCCTTCTTGCTCTGTGTAACTCTTTCAAATAAATAAATAAATATTCAAAAAAGTTAAATGTAAACAGATGTTAGTAAAGAGTAAGTGTTAGAATAAGAAAGGGAAGAGGAAGGGTGGTGGGAAGGCAGATACAGTGGGAAGAATTACCAAGATCCTAAAGCTGTAATGGTAAAATATTAAGCTTGCAACTGCAAAGCAATATAGTCCTATAAATTCCTATGGACTTACTTCTAAGGGTACAGCTTAACAACTAGTCATAAGACCTCAAAGTCCCATAAGCTGGCTGATAAAAATAGCAGCCTAAATGTTATAAAGATCAAATAGGTAGGGGCCGGCGCCGCGGCTCACTAGGCTAATCCTCCGCCTAGTGGCGCTGGCACACTGGGTTCTAGTCCCGGTTGGGGCGCCGGATTCTGTCCCGGTTGCCCCTCTTCCAGGCCAGCCCTCTGCTGTGGCCAGGGAGTGCAGTGGAGGATGGCCCAGGTGCTTGGGCCCTGCACCCCATGGGAGACCAGGAGAAGCACCTGGCTCCTGGCTCCTGCCATCGGATCAGCATGGTGCGCCGGCCGCAGCGCGCCGGCCGCGGCGGCCATTGGAGGGTGAACCAACGGCAAAGGAAGACCTTTCTCTCTGTCTCTCTCTCTCACTGTCTAACTCTGCCTGTCAAAAAAAAAAAAAAAAGATCAAATAGGTAGGAATAAGTGGTAAGGTGACCATATAGATATCACATAAATAGGACTAAGTGTTTGGAAACTATAATAGAATTAAAAAGAAGTGAAGGTTCCAACATGGGAAGCAGTCCATATGCAGACTCATAGAATGACAATAGCTTTAAGTAGCACTCTAACCTCAGAATCAGCCCTAAAGGCATTCCAATCTTATTGGAAAGCCCAGGAGGAGCATTGCAGGCAATGAAAGCCAAGATATTCTGGAAAAAAAAGTCCTACATAAAGGACCCCTGTGAGTGAGACCCCAGTGGAAAGAAATGACCACAAAAGAAGGTCATTTCTCTGAAGGTCATTTTCTCTAAGGGAGGTGAAAACTTCCACTTTGGTTATGGCTTTGTCAAGTCAGTGTATCCAAAAGACTTCCATAGCTGAGGCAGCTCATGTCAAGAGCCTTGGGTGATCACTGATGTCATACATAAGAGTGTTATTTGTTAAATAAACAGCAAGAGTCACTGTGCACTAACTTCTCATGCAGGACCTCTGTCCCCAAAGAGCTGTATTGTGAGACTTCATAGTAAAATTTGTTCTCAAGAATCACTTCCTTTTAGTGTATTAAAAGGAGGATAATGCTATGTCTCATAAGTTAAAGTTGTGCTTAAGAGCTCACAAGAGATGTACCGTCCTTGGGTTCTTCTTTAAAGGCAATTTTCTTTTTTTTAAAGAAATATTTTATTTAATAAATACAAATTTCATAGGTACAGCTTTTGGAATATAGCAGTTCTTCCTCCCATACCCACCCTCCCACCCCCACACCGTCCCACCTCCTACTCTCTCTCCCATCCTGTTCTTCATTAAGGTTCATTTTAAATTATCTTTATATACAAAAGATTAACTATATACTATGTAAAGATTTCAACAGTTTGAATACAAACACATACAGACACATAAAATATAAAGTACTGTTTGAAGGTAAGTTTTACCATTAATTCTCATAGTACAACACATTAAGGACAGAGGTCCTACATGGAGAGTAAGTGCACAGTGACTTCTGTTGCTGATTTAACAATTGACACTCTTATTTATGATGTCAGTGATCAACCAAGGTTCTTGTCATGAGTTTTCAAGGCTATGGAAGTCTTTGAATACACAAATCCATATTTAGACAAGGCCTTAAGCAGAGTGGAAGTTCTCTCCTCCCTTCAGAGAGGAGAGAACTTCTTTGATGGCCCCTCTTTCCACTGGGATCTTACTCACAGAGATCATTTGTGTAGATAATTTTTTGCCACAGTGTCTTGTCTTTCCATGCCAGAAATGCTCTCATGGGATTTTCAGCCAGATCTGAATGCCTTAAGGGCTGATTCTGAGGCCAGAGTGCTGTTTAGCACATTTGTCGTTCAATGAGTCTGCTATGTGGCCTGCTTCCCATGTTGGATCATTCTCTCCTTTTTAATTCTATCTAGACAATTAATTTTCTAAAAGGAAAGAAGGGAGAGGAAAGAAAGGAAAAAATAAGCGAAATCACATTTGAGAAGCAATAACATAGAACAGGCCTTATCTAGACTGTTGAGGAACAGTTCTCTTAGTTTTTTTATTCCATTATTTCTTTATTTTATCATTCTTTCTGTTTTTTTTTTTTTTTTTTTTTTTTTCCTTTCTGGCTGGCGCCGCGGCTCACTAGGCTAATCCTCCGCCTTGCGGCGCCGGCACACCAGGTTCTAGTCCTGGTCGGGGCACCGGATTCTGTCCCGGTTGCCCCTCTTTTTTTCCTTTCTCAGACTAAACAGGAGAGGGAGGAGGAAGGGGGAGGGAGTAAATGGGAGGGTGGGTACAGTGGGAAGAATTACTATGTTCTTAATATTGTATTTATGAGATACGTACAATAAAAAATAAAATGATAGGTTTCCCCCTAAAAATGTCATACTGTGACTTCTGAAGAACCTTAGATATCAGATGATAATATACAATACATACAGATAAAAATTATGGGATCCTAAAATTTTATGTCTAGGGCAAATTTTTTATCCATATATTGACTTAGAATAAAACAATTTTCAGATATGCAATGTGTTGGAATATGATGTAATGCTTGTTTCCCTCCAAAAATCTAAGAAAGCAGATATTCCAACCAAGTAAAACCAGAATAAGTACAGAACTCATGAATAATGATCGGTAACACTCAAATGGTGACTGTTAGTATTCATGTTCCCCATATGTACCTCCAAAGGTGTTATTTTTAATCCTAATTCTCTAGGAAACTGAGGCACAGAACAGTTAATTAATTTACCAAAATCCTAAAAAATATATGGACAAACTCAGTTATGAACCAAGGAAACTGGTGTCTTAGAACTACAGCTCTAACCATCATACTGTACTATGGCAAACGGGAAGTAAATATGGGGAAATATACAGTGAATGGAGCATCAAGGAATGCTTTTTATTTATTTATTTGTTATTATTTTTTTGACAGGCAGAGTTAGTGAGAGAGAGACAGAGAGAAAGGTCTTCCTTCTGTTGGTTCACCCCATAAATGGTCGCCACGGCCAGTGCACTGCGCCGATCCAAAGCCAGGAGCCAGGTGCTTCCTCCTGGTCTCCCATGCAGGTGCAGGGGCCCAAGCACTTGGGCCATCCTCCACTGCCTTCCCAGGCCACAGCAGAGAGCTGGACTGGGAGAGAGGCAACTGGGACAGAACTGGTGCTCCAACTGGGACTAGAACTCGAGTGCCAGCACCGCAGGCGGAGGATTAGCCTAGTGAGCCGTGGTGCTGGCCAGAAGGAATGTTAAATAAATGTAAACACAGAGTGAAGCTTAAATAGCTATACAAATTATAGTTAGAATCTAGAATTTAATTGATTCAACAGTTATAGAATGTAGAGAAAATAACTTTTTGATGCACTCCAGAAACAAAAAGTACAAAAATGTAGAAAAAGTTTGCAGGAGGGAGAATTGAAGTATCAGAGTAAAGAAAATGTATAACATTTCATGGGAGGTATCCACACATCTTTTGGTAAACTTGAATTTCATAAATACAGGTTTATGATTATTATTTAAAATAATAAAGCAGAAACACAGATGTCTAAATACTACAGGAGACAATAAATTGGGTAGCACATGTATTAGAGTAGACCATTAAGACAAAAAGACTAAGTACTAACAGACACGATACATATATGATCAATTTAGGAGATACAGCATCTAACTATGCTTCCTTGAAAGAAAGCAGTGGTGGTGGTGTGAGAGAGAAGAATAAAGGAAAAATAGACTATAGGCCTACATATATAAACTGGACATAATTTTGTATATTTATTTTTCGTTGTCAATATAGCCAGGGAGAGAGAGAGAGAGAGAGAGAGATATGTGACACCAAATTCTACGTTACATCCAAGCAATTGGCAACACAAGCTCATTTCCTATTCTGTGTCCTTGTCCATTACCTAAAATAATGTAGGTACTTCCCAAATGTCCTTTGCATTGCTGCCTGTACTTCCTGATTTTTTAGGCTGTAGATGAGGGGATTCAGCATGGGTGTGACGGCACTGTATTGCAAGGAAGACAGTAAATCTAGGGAGGAGCCTGAAGTGGGCATAAGATAGCGAACCAAACCTGACCCAAAAAACAGGACCACTGCAAGGAGGTGTGAGGAGCAGGTGTTAAAGGCCTTGCTCCTGCCTGTGGTGGAGCGCATACTCAGGATGGTGGAGACAATGCGGGCATAGGAGAAGAAGATTGGGAGGAAGGTTCCAAGCCCATGAAGTAAGGTGGAGCAGATCAAGATGTCTATATTGATGGAGATGTCAGAGCAAGACAGAGGGAAGAGAGAGGGCAGCTCGCACGTGTAGTGGTGGATGGTTTGTGCCTCACAGAAGTCCAGATTGACCGCCAAGAGCACAATGACCACTGAGTTAAGAGAGGCCAGGCCCCAGGAGACCAGCACCAACTTCACACAGAGCTCTATGCTCATCATCTGGCCATAGAGCAGCGGGTGGCAGATGGCGGCGTAGCGGTCATAGGCCATCATTGAGAGCAGAAAGGCTTCAGTCCCTGCAGTGATAAACACAAAGAAGACCTGAGTCAGGCAGCCCTCTACAGAGATGGTTTTCTTCTCAGACAAGAGGTCCTTCAGCAGCTTGGGCACAGTGACAGTGGAGAAGCAGAGGTCCAGGAATGACAGGTTACTCAAGAAGAAGTACATGGGGGTGTGGAGGTGGGAGTCGGTTCCAATCACCAGAAGCATCATCAAGTTCCCTGTCATGGTCAGGAGATAAATCCCCAGAAAGAGTACAAAGAGTAGAGCCTCGACGTGCGGGTCCTCGGACAGCCCAGTCAGAATGAACTCCTCGACAGTGCTGTGGTTCCTCGGGGCCATCTGTGGAGAATATTCCTTTGGAATAAACCAGAAATAAGTCTGAAATCTAATTGTTCTGTCCCCTTCTTCTCATTTGTCCCCCTGGTTTGTCTAGACTCTGTGCTCCTATGTCTCAGGAAGAGTTTCTGTCCTGTTCTGTGATTTTGGGTCACAATGTTCACATACTTTTGAGAATTCTATTCCCCTTCACTGGGATTTAATGGAAAAATAGGTATCTCTGACTCTCCTAACACTCATGGTATTTAACTTCTATTGTATTCTTCCTATAGTTCAGAAGTCTTAAGAATTCTAGTGCTTACATACAGTGGAGCTGTAAACATTCTCTTTCTAATTTATCAGTCATCATTTTTATTTTTGTCAAAATCGTCCAGTGGCTCCTTAGTAGGGCTGACTCCCATTGGGCATAGTAGAGCACAAATCCTGTGGCCACAAGTCTTTGATGGCCAATTGAAATGTTTTTATTTCTTTTAAGCTCAGAAGAAAAATTGACTATAATGTAGGCTGAATTATATATGTAACAATGCAAAAGTAAAATGTGAATTTTAATTTTTGTGAGAAAAGGGGCTCACAAAGATAAAACTATATAATGCTCATAGAAGTCACAATGTGGCCCTGCTCCCTACTTCATAAACAGCACATTTAACTTAACAGAACTTTATTATACACAGAGCATTTTCTCAGTCACTAACTCAACTGGTTTCCAAGTAATTCTGAGAATTATCACAAAATTCTTATACCTGTGATAGGGAATTTTATCCCTGTCTTTCTCATGAGAAGCCAGATATTCAGGGATATTTTGCAATGTCATGTTGACGAGTTGAAGAACCAAGAAATACATTACATTTTTCCTATTTATCAGTCTAATGTCCAGGCTTGGTCCGTAGTGGAAAGCAACACTTTTCTAACTTTGACATTTAGAGTTCTTCCTCATATACCCTTAATCTTTCAGTTATTTTGGTGACTTTTTTTTTGGAAAAAAATTCATTTATTTTAAAGGCATAAAGAGAGACAGAGACAGAGTGCTTTTACTTGCTGATTTACTTCCAAATTCCTTCAGCAGCTGGCACTGTGCCAGACCAAAATCAGGAGTCCAAAACTCAATCCATCTCTCCCACATGGGTTGTAGGGACCCAAGCCCTTGAGCCATCATCTGTTGTCTTGCAGGGTGTGAGTTAACATGAAGCTGGAATCAGTGGTGCTTGGACTTGAAACCAGACACACCGATATAGGAAGTGGGTGTCTCAGGAGGACCTTAACCACTGTGCCAAACACCTGCCCCAATTTTGGTCACTTTTGATAACAAAAAACCCATTTTTTTCCCTATGATTTTGCTTCACTTCTTTCAAAAATATCTTCCCCTTAATTCCACCAACCCAAATTTTCATGGGCTTTCTAATTTCGCCTGTAAACCTGCTTTTTCTTATAGCCTGTTTTGACTGCTCCCTTCGCTGAGCACAGCTCTCTGTTCGAGTCATTGGCTTCCTGCTCTCAGTTACTTTATGTTACGTGGTGAAAACTCTCTTACAGTTCTATTTTTAAAATTTTTTCCCCCAGAAACCTTTTATTTAAGGAATACAAACTTCATACATTTCATAATTACAATTTTAAGCACATGGTGATTCTTCCCACCACTCTTCCTCCTTCCTCTCCTATTCCCATTCTTATTTTTTAACTACGATCTATTACTTACAGTTCTGTTTTAAAATTGTCCTGCATCCTCTTGCCCTAGGTATCAGCTGAGTGTCAGAGGGGGCAGAACCGTGAACAGTTTATATTAATGATGATTCTATATATAAACCCATTTTGAACCTGAATTTATGGGGTTATACAGTAAGTCATTGTCCTAGGTAAAGACTTACTTCATGCTAATTTACTAGTTTTATTTTTTTGCCCCCTACACTTTTTCCATGACAGTCTTCTGTTTCTATGCAAATATTTGGTCTTGTTCATTGAGAAAGTCTTATTTCTGACCCTCTGGTTTCGCCAGTAATCTGTGGCCAGGTGTTAACTCATCAAGAGAAGCTTAGATTCTGATCCCTTTAACAAACCAGCAGTCCAAGCACAAATCCATCTTAGAACCACGTTTAGTTTACCTGTGTGGCTGGAAAGACAGGGCAGTTCCGCCTGGGCTCGCCTGCAGGGTGTTAGCTTAGACCCTGCGATGGTGAAGTGCAGTCAGCCTGAGAAATTACTTTTGAGGACCCTGCACGGAAAACATTGTAAACATAATGGAAAGCAAACACTTTCATTTGGAATCTGGACCAGAAGAGTCAAATGGTGAATGTTCTATCTAAATTTTTGAGTATTTCAAAGTATTTGTGGTTGGAGCTGTGCAGAAAATTCCTTTCATTCTTGCAATTTCACTTACGAGGAGAAGCTGACCACCGCATCCACAGGGGCTTCAAGTGCTCACTCCAAGTACATGGTGGCATTGCTGGAAACCCATTTTCCCTCTGCCCTTCATCTGCATTTCATATGAACAAAGTCGGCAGCGACTTATCTCACTTGGTTTTCAAGTTCTCATAAAGACATCTCCCTATCCCTCCATCACTGACCATCACCTCAAACAAATGTTGGTGATTTCTTTAGTGAAAAATGTTTTAATTTAAATCCTAGGGCAAGTAGGCATAAAAAATTCAACCTTGCAGTTGCTCCTCAGAAGGGAAGGTGGTCAGTGTCTTAATGTTGCACTAAATAAACAGTTCAATGAGTTAAAAGTCAAAAGACCCTAGTTCAGTGGGAATACAGGCATGGACTATAACAATGATTGGCTTAATGTAATCCTGAGGTATAAAAGGTGTCAGATTTAGAATATGGGATAACAGCAGGAAGTGAAGAAAGGGAAAGACAATTAAGTTGATCATGGCAGGGCTGAAGACGCCAAAGAGAATTTTAGGTTGTCTTAGATAAACTCCCAGTTCACCATTCTGCCAACACAGACACTTCTTTTCTGTTGTACACTTGGTCATTTTTATTAATTACCCTTACAGAGATGAGGTAGAATATTGGGTATGGGTATGATTTTGTGACTCTCAGAAAGTCCACTAAAATAATAATCTTCCCTAATTTAAATGTTAAGGCAGAAAATCATGTAGTTGTTTCACTGCCTGAAGGATCAAGCCCAGAGCTGAAAACAGCTCTGAGGGAAACGAATCTTCATTGCCCAATGTCGCTTAAAGGGAAAGCTACCTGATGGCTGGTTTCTATAAAACTAGGGACGCAGCAGGGCCTGGCACAGAGCCTTCCCACACAGGGGCTGAAAGCTCTTGCTGCAGAGAAGGAGTAAGGGAAGGATGTGTGTGGAACGCCAGCCAGCACACAGTGGCTGAAGGATGCAGGGGGTTGAGGGTGAATGTTCAGACCCTTGGTGCGTGAGGAACAATCTGACATGGGAGAAATTAGGGCTAAAACCCAACTTCATTTACTTAAAATTGTTCTCAGAGCTGTGCTTGCCCGTGCTCTCTCACATTATTCACACCAACTATACGCAATATGTAAGAGAAACATCCAAATAACAAGATTTGGGAAGTTTGAGGATCAGGGAAGTACAAACACAAAGAACAGTGTGGATATAAAAAATGAGGAAATATTAGTATGTTAGGGGTATAATTCAATGAAGACAACATGGATATACCACATAATATGGCATCCAGAGTTACATATATATTATATATATATATATATATATACATTTTCTCCTACTTATCAGAGACAATATATGCATTATATATTATCTTATGCAATATATGCATGCATGAGACAAGCATTGGCCTATTTTACATTCCCAGGTATTTGAAGTTAATGCTAGCATCTTTCACTAGAAGTTTATTTCGTTTTCATTGAAATTACAAACATCGAAATGTGCACACAAAAACTCATATGCAAATATTTCACAGTAGCATTATTTAAAATCAAAAGATGGAAACAACCCAAACGACCATCAACAGATCAATGGATGAATAAAATGTGTTCTTTCCAAGTAATGGATCCTTTTCTTTCTAAAAAATTTTAACTGATGTGTCACACTTGTTGATATTTATGGGGTACAATGTATATATCGCATAATGTCCAATCAGGGTATATGTATTCATTTCCCCAAATATTTAAAATTTACTTAAGGTGAAAACTTAAAAGATCCTTTTTAATTTTTTTAAAAAGAGAACTATACAGTATACTGTGGAACAAACACAAGAACTTTTCAGGCATATCTAACTCTAACACAGTGTCAGATAAACCTCTCCCATTCCCTCCCTCCCCTACACTGCCGGCCTCCAGTAGCCACCGTTATCCCCTTAGAGTTTTTTTTTTTTTTTTTGCCAGGCAGAGTTAGACAGTGAGAGGGAGAGACAGAAAGAAAGGTCTTCCTTCCGCTGGTTCACCCCCCAAATGGCCGCTACAGCTGGCATGCTGAGCCTATCCGAAGCCAGGAGCCAGGTGCTTCTCCTGGTCTCCCATGCGGGTGCAGGGCCCAAGCACTTGGGCCATCCTCCACTGCCTTCCTGGGCCACAGCAGAGAGCTGGACTGGAAGAGGATCAACTGGGACAGAACTGGCGCCCCAACCAGGACTAGAACCCGGGGTGCCGGCACCGCAGGCAGAGAATTAGCCAAGTGAGCCGCTGCGCCGGCCACCTTAGAGGTTCTTACCATTCTCCTGGCTTTTCTTGGAGGATGCAGCTGTACACATTCTGTCTTTCCCAAGCTTATTATGGGTAGAGTCTTCTTAAACCCCTGTTCCAGAAGTTTGATTATTGGAGTAGACAGTTTTTCTTTCTTGTCAGTGAGAAAAGAACACAGAATAATTTGAGCTCTGTAAGCAGCAGATATGTCACAGACTCAGGGCTATTCTTCTGAACACCTTAACCTGTACTGATGTTGCACTGCAATGGAGGACACTATAAAAAAAAAAGTTAGGGTCATATTCTCTAACAAAGTTTGTATTCTGAATACTACGTGTAATTTCTTTAAAACCTTCTAATTAGATCTCAGATGCAGTAATGTG